ATGAGCCTTCCTGCATTCAGATTGCTTTTCACTCGTAATTGGCATAAAAAGCCTCCCTACCGCCTGTTTTACCCTGGTTTTTGACAAACATGCCACAACCACGTGCTTTGAATTTGCAGCGGTTCTCCACTTACCTGCTTTAGTCATCAAGATTTGTTGGATTATTATTGCCATGGGCACAAAGCAAATCACAGCATGGTGGCATGTAAACACCCTCATTTGCTGCCATTGCACTTTAAGAGGGTGGTTGGTGGAACTAAAAAAAACCCCAGCTCAACCAAGTTTTTAACATCCCCCCACCAACCACTAATCCGAATGAGACCTAGCAATTTTTTTAAACATCTCTAAAACATTTATTAAACTGATTGCTAATTGGGGAGAACTGCCTTCCTGATCAGTCTCTGGGGTTTATTTACCAAAACTGGAGAGTGCAGAATTTGGTGTAGTTGTGCATGGTAGCCAATCAGCTTTTAAACTTCAGATTTTTCAATTAAAGTGAAAGCTTTGTGTTTTTTTTAAATAAACTATACTTGCCTGCTCTGTGCAGTGGTTTTGCACAGAGCAGCCTGGATCCTCTTCCTTTTGCTCACCCCCCCCCCCCCCCCCACACACACACACAGACAGACACAATCTCCTCATTGGCTCACTGGTTGTGACTGACAATGAGGAGGAAGAGTCCCCAGACAGCAGAGGCTGTTGAGAACCTTGCGGGATCAGGGGGGGCTCAGGTAAGGATTGTGGGGGGACTGGGGGGGGATGCTGCACACAGAAGTTTTTTAAACTTCATGTACAGAATACTTGAAGGTAAAAACCTTCAGCCGTTAGAGTCAGTTAAACTTTGACAAAAAAACTGGAAGCTCATTGGTTTCTATGCAGTGCTGCATCAGATTTTATACTCTCCCGTTTTAGTAAATCAACCCCTCTGTGTTGTAGCAAGAAATGTTGCAATGGCCATGGTTAGAAATGCTCTTTTTTAATTCACAAAAATCATAATTGAAAGTATTAATTGAATACTACTTCATTTATATACTCGGTTATAAAATTCTGTTAGCAAAAGTTATGTTTGCCATAAGCAATATTAAGCTCTAAAACAAAAATGTAATGGGGTGGTTGCAATTCATTTTCTATTTTTAAGCTAGTTCCCTCTATTTTCACCTTGTGATCCAGTCGCTAAGTCTGTTAAGCGGGGCTGTGGGGGCATCTGCCCTGGGCGCCAAGAGAAAAGAGAGAAGGAGATGATTCTTCTACATGATACCAGATGGTATCATGCAGTCAGGTATAGAGCACAAGTCCTCCCCTTACCCATTAACTAGCAATGTCCCCAGTCTGCCCCCACTAAGCACCAGGACCTCCATCTCCCTCCCCCCACCCACTGAGCACTAGAGCCCCTTTCCCATCCCTAAGCACCAGGACCCCCCATTTCCCCCCACTAAGCACCAGTGTCCCCTTGTCCCCCAACTGAGCACCAGGACCCCCTATCTTCCCCACTAAATAACAGGACTCCCCATCTTCTCTGACTGTGAACCAGAACCCCAAGCTCCCCCCAAAAAGCACCAGTACCCTCCATCTCCCCAAATGAGCACCAGTGCACCATGGCCAGATCTAGGGGGGTGCTGGGGAGGGCTGTGCCCCCCTCCCCCAGATTTCAGCTGCACTTACATAGGCAACCCCCAGGGATACTGTGCCCAGGCAGAGTTGGTCAGGGAAGCAGTCTGAAGAGGAGGCTGGCTGCATCTACCAAGTTTTGGTGTGTCAGAGACTCCAGGAAGCTAGCTCTTCCCCCCTCCTCTCCCCTCCCCTCTGCATAGACAGGAGAGGAGGCAGGACTCAAGCTGCTCCCGCCCCCCTCATCCTGTCTGTCCCGCCCACACACAGCCAGTGCAGTGCCTCAGAAAGGGATGTAGGCAGGAGATATAAACAGCAGCAGATAGAAGCTTCATCCTCTCTGCATGATTGATGATGCTGCTTGAGTCTTCAGATCCCAGTCTGGGTGAGTGAAAACTGAGCACTGTTCTATGACTGTCCCCATCTTCCTCCCTTCCCTCCCCCTCCCTGTTCTAGATGGTTTCACAAACTTATGGAGTTGACTTCATGTCCAGGGACACCTGAAGTACTATTTAGGATGGCTGACAAACTACTAGTTGGAAAAACTGATGGATTTTTAACTCACAAGTTTGTGATGCTTCTGTTTAACCCCCTCCTGCCCAGAATCCCTTTAAGATCTCCTTCACACCAGCTTTGGTCGCTGAAGAGAAAACTGTGTACAGATCACTCTTCAGAGAACAGTTGGCAAGCAGTAAGAAGGTGTTGTATCACCTTCTCACCATCTGCTTTAACCTCCCGAACCCCACATTAGCACACCACAACCGCATGGATTCAATGCAGTTGTGAGGTGCTTGCAGAGAAGCCCCATTCACTTAAATAGAACACGGTTATCAGGCACTGTGCCCACAGAAATCAAAAGAGGGTATCATTTTTGTCATGGCCACAAAGCAAAGAATCACAGTAGCAGCATGTGTACACCCCAGCCGTGTGTTTCCAACCGTCTGAGGTGATTGTAGCTGTATTATTGCATTTGCGACAGGAACAATATCACGGACAGGACTCAATTGTTCCAACCATCTGGAAATTTACAGATGGTTTGTAAAAAAAACAGGCACTTTTCTCCTGTCCATAAATGCAGACAGGAGAAAAGTGCCCCTAAAAAATCCCCTTGTCATTAACTCTGAACTGCACATGCACAGTTACAGAGCCATCCTATTAGAGAATTGCCGGCCTTGGCCTCAGATCAGGCAGCAGGGCAGGTCTGGGTGTGCACCTGTACAGTGACATCATGACGCTTATCAGGCATGGCTTATATTTACATGCTCCACCACATGAGTCTCTGCATGAGGACCTGGCAATTTGCTAGTTGGCTGGCACTGGAACTGTGTGTTGCACCTTCCTAGTTTAGCTAGGGGGAGCTTGATTCTGATGGTTAGACAGGAGCTGAGTAGCAGCTCAGGTGTAATAGCCAGAGGGGTCAAATTGTGGTCAGGGCTGAGAGGCTCTGCAGGCCAGCCCTTCTAGAATTTCCCCCTGCTCTGAGGCTTTTGGAGGAATTTCTTGGAGGCAGTGGATGGATCTAAGGAGTGGTTGGCTGCACTCTTGGGGGACCTTGGCCAATACCCAACAGAAGGCTTGGCAAGGGGCTGGGACTCCCTTAAAAGTGTTGGGCAGGAATGGGTAGTGTGGAGAGTCAAGAGAAAGATGTGAGGCTGTGAGGAAGGAGGCTGCCAGGAGGCCTAGTGGGATGGGGCCTGTGTCAGGGCTCCGGGGTGTCACCAGAGGTATGTGAATGTCGCAGGGAAACGCAGGCTTCAGATAAGTTATAAACAATATAATTTATTAAAGACTAACAATACAAATATAAACGCAGTGCAATACTAAAACATAACACAGTGCAAATGAACCAAACCACCCACAGATAACAGTACATACAATGCAAGCGTCGTCAGGCAGGCCGGGTCAATAACAATCGGGCAGGTAGGTACAGGGGGTCAGGCAGAGAATGGTCGGGGTCACAAGCCAGGGATGAAACAGGAGAAGTCAGCAGAGGTCCGGATCAGGCAGGGTCAGCAACGAATCAGTCAGACAGGGACAGGAACAGGAACAGGGATGCAGGTAACAAGATACAGGGCCCAGGAAAAACACACACCAAGGCAGAGACTGCAGGTCTGGCCATCCCTTAAATACACCTGCATGATCAGCTTCAGGTGTTTGGCTGGCTGCAGGGTTGAGTCTCTGATTGCCGGGAGCACCTGCTAGCCAGCCCTGGTACTGCCCACAAGGCAGGTGAGTCCCACCATTACTGGCAAGTCCATTCCTGACAGTACCCCCCCTCAAGGAGCGGCCTCAGGATGCTCCAAACAGTCCTAGCTGGGCAAAATGTTCCACCGCCCGGGTCTGGTAACTGGCGGGATATCAAAGACTGGCACATCGGGCAGGACTCCGGGCAGCGGCACACCGGGCAGGACTCCGGGCAGCGGCACACCGGGCAGCACTCCGGGCAGCGGCACACCGGGCAGGACTCCGGGCAGGGCACTCCGGGCAGCGGCACACCGGGCAGAGGCACATCGAGCTGGACTCCGGGCAGAGGCACATCGAGCAGGACTCCGGGCAGCGGCACATCGGGCAGGACTCCGGGCAGCGGCACATCGGGCAGGACTCCGGGCAGCGGCACATCGGGCAGGACTCCGGGCAGGACTCCGGGCAGAGGCACATCGAGCTGGACTCCGGGCAGGACTCCGGGCAGAGGCACATCGAGCTGGACTCCGGGCAGGACTCCGGGCAGAGGCACATCGAGCTGGACTCCGGGCAGGACTCCGGGCAGAGGCACATCGAGCTGGACTCCGGGCAGGACTCCGGGCAGAGGCACATCGAGCTGGACTCCGGGCAGAGGCACATCGAGCTGGACACCGGATCACCAGGCGGAGCAGCAGGCACCGGGCCACCAGGCGGAGCAGCGGGCGCCGGCCCCCCAGGCGCAGCGGCGGGCGCCGGGCTCCCCGGCGGAGCAGCAGGCACCGGGCCACCAGGCGGAGCGACAGGCATCGGGCCACCAGGCGGAGCGACAGGCATTGGGCCCCCAGGAGGGGCGACAGGCACCGGGCCCCCAGGAGGGGCGACAGGCACTGGGCCCCCAGGCGGGGCGACAGGCATCGGGCCCCCAGGCGGGGCGACAGGCATCGGGCCCCCAGGCGGTGCACCGGGCCCCCAGGCGGAGTGGTGGGCGCCGGGCCCCCAGGCAGAGTGGCGGGCGCCGGGCCCCCAGGAGGGGCGACAGGCATCGGGACCCCAGGCGGGGCGACAGGCATCGGGCCCCCAGGCGGGGCGACGGGCGCCGGGCCCCCAGGTGGAGCGGCGGGCGCCGGGCCCTCAGGCGGGGCAGCAGGCACCGGGTCATCTGGCGCTGGATCGTCTGGCTCGACAGCAGGCATCGGGTCACCAGGCATGACCGCGGGCACTGGGTCATCAGGCATTGGATCGTCTGGCTCGACAGCGGGCATCGGGTCACCAGGCATGACAGCGGGCACTGGGTCATCAGGCATTGGATTGTCTGGCTCGACAGCGGGCATCGGGTCACCAGGTATGACAGTGGGCTCTGAGTCACCAGGCATGACCGCGGGCACTGGGTCAGACATTGGATCGTCTGGCTCGACAGCGGGCATCAGGTCACCAGGCATCAGGTCATTTGGCTCGACAGCGGGCACCGCGTCATCTGGCAAGGCAGTGGGCACCGAGTCACCAGGCACAACAGTGGACTCTGAGTCAATTGGCACGACAGCGGGCACCGGGTCATCTGGCGCTGGATCGTCTGGCTCAACAGCGGGCATCGGGTCACCAGGCATGACAGCAGGCACTGGGTCATCAGGTCCTGGATCATCTGGATCGACAGCGGGCACCGGGTCATCTGGCGCTGGATCATCTGGCTCGACAGCGGGCATCGGGTCACCAGGCATGACAGCGGGCACTGGGTCATCAGGCATTGGATCGTCTGGCTCGACAGTGGGCATCGGGTCACCAGGTATGACCGCGGGCACTGGGTCATCAGGCGTGATAGGATCATCAGGCTGGATCAGTTCATCAGGCTGGGTACAGACATCAGGCTGGGTACAGACATCAGGCTGAAGTGCGGGTGCCGAGGCACCAGGCTGAACCACGGAAGGCAGGTTCTCAGACGGCAGGCTCACCGGTTTGGATACTGGCAGGATGGTACTGGTTGGAAAGAATTTCCGCTTTTTTCTGGTTTTAACTACTGGGGCACTGCAAGTAAACGCAGGTCTGCAAACGAATGGAGCAGCTGAGGACAGAGAAGAGCTGGAAGATGGAACAGAGGAGGGAGCAGTTGCTACAGAGGACTTCTTTACAGGGTTAAAGAAAGGATAGGTGCAGCGAGTGGGAGCAGAGGACTGGTATGTGGTAGTTAGAGTATACTGGGCAGTCACTGGGGGTGCTGTTGGGGATGCAGGAAGAGTGCCTTGAGTGGAGGAATGATGTTGTAAGCTGACTGAGGCTGGGTGCAACAAGTCTGACCATGTCTGCAGTATGGGTTGAACGAAGCTCAGTTTACACAAAGCCTGTCTGGTCAATGACTGCACTGCGTTTATACAATCTCTTAGTATCTGTGGTGAACATGCAGAATAACGCTCCAGAAAGTAATCCACATCATCCTCTAATAACCATACCAGGGACTCTACCTTGTCGGCACTAAATGGCGGCAAAAATTCATCCCTGCATTCGGGGGTACCAGATGAAACCAACTCAGCACAAACCTGAATCAATGGCTGCACCTCAGAGAATTCTGTGCCCTGATCTACTAGAACATGAGCGATCCGTATACACTCTAGTAGTTGATCCCTGGGATACTCCTTCAGAGTCTGATAAGCATATTCTCTGTCATCAAACACTAGCAGAGATAAATACACAACCTCATCAAGATCCATCCTTCCCAGCAACAAGCCAAGATGGCTTCCCTGTGCAGCCACTTCTGGTCAGGATTGGCCTTGGTGTAATGTCAGGGCTCCGGGGTGTGACCAGAGGTATGTGACTGACGCAGGGAAACGCAGGCTTCAGATAAGTTATAAACAATATAATTTATTGAAGACTAACAATACAAACATAAACGCAGTGCAATACTAAAATATAACACAGTGCAAACGAACCAAACCAAACCACCCACAGATAACAGTACATACAATGCAAGCGTCGTCAGGCAGGCCGGGTCAATATCAATCGGGCAGGTAGGTACAGGGGGTCAGGCAGAGAATGGTCGGGGTCACAAGCCAGGCATGAAACAGGAGAAGTCAGCAGAGGTCCGGATCAGGCAGGGTCAGCAACGAATCAGTCAGACAGGGACAGGGACAGGGACAGGGACAGGAACAGGAACAGGAACAGGGATGCAGGTAACAAGATACAGGGCCCAGGAAAAAACACACACCAAGGCAGAGACTGCAGGTCTGGCCATCCCTTAAATACACCTGCATGATCAGCTTCAGGTGTTTGGCTGGCTGCAGGGTTGAGTCTCTGATTGCCGGGAGCACCCGCTGGCCAGCCCTGGTACTGCAGCCCACAAGGCAGGTGAGTCCCACCATTACTGGCAAGTCCATTCCTGACAGCCTGCCTGCGAGCCTGGAGCTGGAGAGGAGGAAAACTTGGAACTCACTGGCCCTCTGAGCGAGGACCACCTGTATGGTGGGTAAGGAACAACTCAGCTGATAGGCCTGGTAGCAACAGCCAACCCACAAGTGGCACAGGAGAGGATCTAAGTGAGTATGCCTGTACCTGGCACCTGGGTGCCTGTAGGGATAAGGGAAGGAGCCCTCTGTGGGAAACCAGATTAGCACCCTACAAGTGATTGTTCACCTATTTAAAGGGACAGAAGCTAGATCCCCTGATCAGGAAAAGACCTCCAGATTACTCTATCCCAATTCTAAATCCCCTCAATAAACAACAAAACAAAAGCTCAAGGTCTAATTTCTGACTTCAAATGCAAGCTTGTGTGGAAAATGCAAATTGCCTGGCTGTGCAGGACTATAGGGGGACCCAAATCTCTTAGCAACCCCCAAGGGGGTAGTGCTACATGTGCATTCGCAGTTAAGAGTCAGCAACGAGGGTATTTTTTTTAAAGCCTTTTCGTGGCAGCAACCCGATAGTGGTGAAAGGGGGACTCTGCTGGGCTCTGATATGAAGGGCGGTACTCTGCTGTACGGTGGGATTCTGGTCTAAGGAGGGTCTTTGAAGACATGGATGTAGGGGGGAATCTGATGAGTACGGAAAATCCTGTGGACTTTGATATAAGGAATAACTCTAATGTGAACACGGCGCTCTTCCTGACTGCTGCATTCTTACGGTTTTTTTTTTTTTTACTTACTCCTGACCCATATACTTTATACATTATGCTGTACATAGAACCGATCAAGGTGTTCATTGTCTCAACTGTTGTTGGATTTAATGAAGTTCTTCATTAAAGTGTAAGTTCATCTTCATAGAAAATCTGTAAAATGAACTAACACAGGACCCCTTCCCATCATTCAACTAGTCCCACTGTACTTACCTCCCAAATTCCATCAAGCTTCACTAACCAGGGGATTTGAAATCAGCTTTCTCTCCTCTCCTTGCAGAAGGACAAGACAGATTCTGATTGGTCAGCGCCATTCATATGACAGTGCTGGCCAATTAGAATCTGTCTGGTCTGTACTGGCTGCACAGTACACTGGGGAGACTAAGCCATGGAGATTTCAAATCGCCGGACCTGACCTATGAAGGGGAATGTGGGAACCTTATAGTGCAGGATCATGCGAGGTAAGTGCAGTAGGACTGAGAGAGGTGTGGGAAGGGTACAATGTTAAGTTACCTTACAGATTTTCTGTAAAGGTGAACCTACACTTTAAAGTAAGCTCAGTAAGGCAGCCCATACATCAGTCAATGTAATTCCCATATCCACACATTTGTCACTGCCCTGCTAACCAACTGTATGCTGAAATACTAATTTCTGTTTCTCTACACTGTCGTGCTGACCTCTCATCCCTTGCCCCCCTGACATTTTCTACTGCTCCCCCACATCATACCGGCTAGATCCGACCCTACGGTGCCCTCTTGTCCCCCCACTGAGCACCAGTGTCCCCCTTGTCCCCCTCACCAAGCACCACTGCTCCCCTTGTTCCCCTTGAGAAAACCATTTAACAATGACAAGGGTGCTTACAGTGGTCAGCTTTAATTAACTTATGTAAAACCTTTATTTAAAAATAAAAGAAAACTTTTGCTGTAACTGTTCAAAAAATGTTTGCTGGAGTTTGTCTTTATTTTACAAAGTATTTTATGAGTTTTTGGGGTTTTTTTTGTAGAGGAGAAGTACAAAACAGACCAATACACTTTAAAACAGTGTACAATGAGCATTGGAGGCAAGAAAAGTGGTAGCACGTAAGAGTTGTGGTTTTAACTGAGGATGCAAACAAGCACATTACAGAGGCATCAGTATGAATAGAAAAAAAAAAAAGAACACGGTCCAGTGGCAATAAAGGCAACCAGCCTAAACTTGGTATTGCCCCATCAGAAGAGAGAAAAAAGGGAAAAGAAAAGAGAAAGGTTGTCTAAGAAAGGAAGAAGGGACAGGGAGAGTTCCCATGCCATCCAGCCCCTTAAGTAGCGTGGGCCATACCTACAGTGCATTCATAAAGTATGCAGACCCCTTCACTTTTTTTTCTCAGTCTACACTTAGTACCCCATAATGACAAAGTGAAACCAGAATTTTAGAAATGTCCATGACATTATTAAAAAGAAAAAACTGAATTATCAAATGTACTTAAGTATTCAGACCTTTTACTCAGTAAATTGTTGAAGCATCTTAGGCAGTAATTACATCCTTTTGTCTTTTGGGTGTGGCGCAAAAAGCTTTGCACACCTGGGATTGCTGGATTTTTTACCATTCTTCTTTGCAAATCTGTTCAAGCTCAGTCAGGTTGGATGGGGGCCGTCAGTGATCAACCATTTTAAGGTCTCTTCAGAGATGTTCAATAAGGTTCAAGTAAGGCTCTGGCTGGGCCACTCTAGGACATTCACAGAGTTGTCCCTAAGCCACTCCTGTGTCGTCATGCTGGAAGGTGAATCTTCAGCCCAATCTGAGGTCTTGAGCACTGTGGAGCAGCTTTTCATTGAGGATATCTCTGTACTTTGCTTCATTGAGCTTTCCCTCAACCATGACCAGTCTCCCAGTCCCTGCTGCTGAAAAAACACTCCCACAGCATGATTCTGCCACTACCATGCTTCACTGTTGGGATGGTATTGGGCAGGGGATGAGCAGTGCTTGGTTTCCTCCAGATGAATTGAGGCCGAACAGTTTAATCTTAGTTTCATTAGACCAGAGAATCTTGTTCCTTACAGTCAGAGTCCTTCAGATGCTTTTTTGCAAACTCCAAGAGGGTTTTCATGTGTTTTGAGGAGAGGCTTTCATCTAGCCTTAGATCCCAGATTGGCGGAGGATACTGGACACTTTAATCCCTCCTGCCCATGCCAATTTTCAGCTTTCTGTTTCAATATTTTTATTAAGAAAGTTTTGTTTTTAAGAATATAACAAGCTCAAAATACGCCCTCGCAGGGGCAGAGCAGAACAATAACACATAAACAGAGACATCCTGCTGACTTGTATTAGTCAAATAACGAAATGTCCAATGACATCAAGAAGCGACGGAAAAAAGCTGAACCAAATAGCAGCAGTAATCCAACATAATATTAGAAAAAGAAGAGAAAAGAAAAAAGGTTAGAAGAAAAGAAAATAAAACAAAAGGGAATCATAAAGAAAACATGAAAGAAGGGAAACTAGAAGGATCACGGATCCGGGGCCAATTTTCATCTTTCAGCACTGTCACACTTTGAAGGACAATTGCATGGTCATACAACACTGTACCCATATGAAATTTTAATAATTTTTTAATCACCACTGGGTTTTCTTTTGCTAAACAAAAAATATTTAAAATTTTGAAAAAAATGTTTTTTCTTAGGTTCGGTTATAAAATTTAGCATATAAGTAATTTTTCTTCTTCACTGATGTGCACTAATATATTGCACTGGTGGGGCTGAACTGATAATCAGGGCACTGGTGATCAGTGCCCTGATTATCAGTATCAATGTGTTGAATATCAGCTTTCCTTTCCCCACACAGTGACAGCACTGAGGAAAGGAAATGCAAATAACTGGCAAGTTTGTTTACATGTGATCAGCTGTGATTGGCCCTTCACCTTGAACTGTGATCAGCTGCGTCCAAA